TCTGCCGTTCTCATGTCCCGACATGTCTCCCCTCCTTTGCTGTCTGCTGCGCTGGGGGAGCGGAGAGACGTTTAACCCCCTCACTCGGTAGCGGATGTTGACTGTGACGCCGGGCGCGGAGTATCCCGAGAGGTTTTCGCACGCTGCGTCGAGAGCGGGCAGAGAGATTCTCTTTGGGACTGCAGACGGTGAGCTACGCAATCTGTTCTGTCCGTCGACCCTCGTCGCTCGGTGCTAGTCGGACTTCGCTGACGGCGCCTCGCACCGAAGGCGAACGCTCACCTTTTGTTGCCCCACTACGTACGCACGGCCGAAGGGTGGTACGGTGTCCTAGTGCGTGGCCTAGCTACGTCGACCCGTCTCCCTTTGAAGCCAACGCGAGCGCCTTTGCCCTCGCTCAAGCGACCGGGCCTTGGTCCCAGTGTCTCCGTGGATCACCTTTACGGCGGAGACGTGCTCGTGGCACCCTGTGTAGTACTTTTATGCCTGTGGCGTGGATAAGCCTACTTGCTTTCCCGCCGCACCTTTGCAACGGGCTGTACTGCGTTTGGTGTTGCCCCAATAAAGTGTTGCGACTTTAAGCAGTATCGTGTTCTCGTCACGACGACGGTTAACGCGTTCCCTACGGCTCGCTAAGACCGAACCCACGCTGGTGGCTGTACTTCTTTGGGATAGGTGTACACCACACGCCGTAGTTCCCGATGTGCCTGGTTCTCCTCCGTGGTCACGTTCTTTCTTCTTTGTGACGGTAATTTCGAAAGGATCCCAATTGATTTCAGCTTAATTTCTTCTCTGGCGCCCGGCCTCACGCTTTGGACGGCTTCTTCTACAGCTGCGACAAGTTTCGGTAGACGGGGCGTCGTTGACATTTTATAGCCATGTCCCTTTGCCAGGACTGAAGTTTCCTGATCAGTGAGTGGACGAGATGAAAGATCGGTGGCAAACCTGGAATTTTGGATGCTTTGGGTGAAACTCCGGTTCAACAGGTGGGAGAGTTTCTTATCCTGAGTGGTCAGGTGCTTTTTTGCCGTCGATGCCGCAACGGAGTCCGCGAACGCGTCGACCGCAGACATCAACTCAGGGATGCGGTGCTCAAGTTGACGCTTGGCGAAAAACAAGTCCAGTTCCTTATTCCGTAAAGAGGCATTCTTTTCATGAAAGCGGGCATTGATCAGTCGTTGTTCGGCTCTGTGACAACTTCCAAGCCCTCAGGGGTCGGGACAGGTCGTTTTAAGCGCAGGCTTTGAGGAATGACTTTCCTTTCTTTGCAGGTGCGGCTGAAGTCGAGATGAGTCTTGAAGACTGAGATGCCTTCCTTAATGCGTATGCAGCGCTTGACGAGCTGCATCGTATCGTGTTTGAAGTCTTGGCTGATTGACTTGAAAGTAAACATACGACAGAAGTCTGTCTGGTTGGGTATGAAACTGGGAGATCATTTAGACTCCAACCAAAAGTTTTGGAGAAACCCGACGTTTCGGAACCTACTTGGTTCCTTCCTCAGGGGTGACTGCGGAGGCTACGTAGCAGCATCGTCTTTAAAGCACTCGCGGGGTGGCTCATGACCCCTCTCTCTCTCTCTCTCTCTCTCTCTCTCTCTCTCGTTTTGCCGTGGAGCGCAGTCCATGTGAATACACTGGGGGAAGGGTTTTGAGGGAGCGGTTGCTGTCTCTGCTGCCCGTGAGGCACTTGAGGAGGACGCAAGCCTGAGTGAAAGGACTCCTTTGGCAGTTGACGAGCTCTGTCGTCTACTGGAGTTCTGCCTCTCCAGTACGTATTTCTCCTACAAAGGAACTATTTTCAGGCAGAACAGTGGAACCGCGATGGGAGCTTCCATCTCCATCATGATGGCAAACTTGACCATGGAGTACATAGAAGAGAAAGCACTCAGCTCCTTCTCGCCACGACCTAAGCTTTTTCTGCGTTATATGGACGGTTCCTTTTGCGTCATTAAGACGGCTGAAGTTGAAAACTTAAGACAACACCTAAATTCTGTCCACCCAGCCATACAATACACCACCGAGTGTGAAAGCGACCACTGCCTGCCCTTTCTCGACGTCGAGGTGGCAAGAAAGCGTGACGGCCTGGAGTTCTCCGTTCATAGGAAGCCAACGCACACTGACCGCTACCTTCAATTCGATTCTTCCTACCCCGCCTGCCACAAGGCCTCGGTTGTCACCACGCTACTCGAGAGAGCTAGGAACTTATGCTCTAATGACACAGAGCGAAAGAAAGAGGAGGCCCGCAGTAATTGCTGACCTCAGAAAAAACGGATACCCAAAAACTTCATTTGAGCCACCACCCGCCACACAGAGCAACAGAGGATACGAAAACACCAATCAACCTCAATTGGCAGCCCCCCGAAACGCGTACCGGTTCCATACATTCCGGGAACCAGCGAGATGTTAGCGCGAATCTTCGGGAAGAAAAGGGCTCGCATCACGCACGTGCCTTCGTGTACGCTGGGCCGCCTCCTACCTCGCCCGAAAGACCGGCCGACAATGGACAGGCGCCCCGGTGTCGTTTACAAAATTCCGTGTGCCTAGGGCCCCTTGTCGTATATCAGCGAGACGAAAAACCTACCGGAACGACTGAAGCAACACCCCAACGATGTGCAGAAGTTCTACAAAGAACGCAGCGCAGTCGCCGAACATGCTGAGACATTGGATCACAAAATAAATTTTGAAGCGAAGAACATTCCTTGAAAGCGAGCCGAACTGGAGGAGAAGGTTGTTACTCGAATCGTGGCACATACAGAGGACAGCCCATAATATCAACCGCTCTCTCGGAACCCTTCCCCCAGTGTATTCACATGGACTGCGCTCCAGGGCAGAACGAGAGAGAGAGAGAGAGAGGGGTCATGAGCCACCCCGCGAGTGCTTTGAAGACGACGCTGCTACGTAGCCTCCGCAGTCACCCCTGAAGAAGGAACACAGTCGGTTCCGAAACGTCGGGCTTCTTCAAAACATTTGGTTGGAGTCTAAATCATCTCCCAGTTTCATACCCAACCAGACAGACTTCTGTCGAATGTTCACTTCCGAGCCCTCTGTTTACTTAGCTTTCATTAATTCAAACTTTTCTTAATTCGAACAAATTTTTGGGCCCCTCCAAGTTTGAATTATCAAGATTCGACTGTATACCAGTATTCAAGCGGGGTGTGACAACTATCCAATGCTCTCTCTGTCTCATATTATAGTAGTGGTCATTTGTTTACAAATGCGCAAGGGTGTCTAAATTATGTATGTTTTGTCTTACTTCATATCTATATCTAGAACTCAGCCAATAATACTATAATTTGTGAGCGGTTATAATACCAGCTTTATGAAAGAAGCCTATAGTTGTTGCATTTTATCTAGCATTATAAACATTTTGTAGATATCCTTTCTGCATAACGTCAACTTTTTGTAGATTAGAAAATGAAGACGCACCCCAGACAGGTTGAGAATAGTCAAGATGTGAATAGAAAAGATAATTGTAAACTAGGATTTTAAGTTTTGGAGAGAGAATGTATTTGAGCCGACCGACTTTTCATGTTATGTGAGCTAATTTCGCTAGCACCGAGTTTACGTGGGCTCCCCAAGACATGTGCACACTAAATACAACACCAGGGCACTTAAAGTGGTTGACAAAATCAACTGGGCGGGAATTGAAAATTATGTTCGCATGAGGAGAGATTGGCTTATTCTTGGCTCAAAATATAACCGGAATATGATCATTTAATTTAACCTTGGCCTCGAGCTTCGCGGCAATGCAGATTTCTCTTAGATGGGTGTTTTTACAGCTTAGAACCTCTTCACTGCAGCAAAATTACCTTTACAGAAGATTAAATGCGAACTAATAAACATTTACATAGAGACTTTTATGGCTTAATACCCCTACACTTCAATAAAACTATCTTTACGAGGGGTTACATGCAAACTAATTTATATACACCTACTCGTTCATTGTGAATACTTTGAAATTTTCAATAAGTTAAATTCCAACTAAAGTGAATTGAAATACTGTACAATTAATTCGAATATTCACAGAAGCATAGTTTCTTTGGAGGGTGTTGATTGCCTGATAGGCTTTTGAACCAATACAAAGTACAGTTTCAGAAGCCCTTGCATGGCTCACCTGGACTATGTGAGCTCTGTCTTACCAAGCTCAGAGAAGAGAGAGTAGGTATGTATTCGTTCTCAAAGCCCTGTGCAAACATGGACACAAGAGCGACATCCACAGGGGATCTCTTGGTGTGTGCTTCATCTTGTAAACTTAAACACTGGATGTGCATAGACACCACATGCGCCAGGAAACCATCCTTCTTGGCTCCACCTTGTACTAAAACAACAGTGAAAGGCAATGCACCACTGCACTCAAGGGCAGGCCCAGCCTGGTCCAAAATCTTTGGAAGAGGCCACCACAATTATCCCACATATATGCTCTCATGTGTCATGTGACTGCCTGTGTTGTGTTTTAACACTCAAGTGCTCACACCTAGGTCACTGATGCAATTAGGTCTCTATTTGTGTTTTATAATCTTTTTTTCTAATATGAATGCATACCACTTAGCCAATTACCTATATATTACCCATTACCTATATAAGCACAAGGACACAGACACAATATTGCTCATAAGGTGCCTTTAATAATAATGCTCCCCACATAGGTTTATGCACAATACTGCCTTCTGTCAACATTTTTTTCTGAAACCTACCTACACACAGCAGGTTTAGTTGACTGAACAGTCATCCTCTTTACACACATGTGCAGATAAAATGACAAATGTGGGTCAAGACCAAACAGTTGACCCACGTCTTGTTCCCACAGCCCAAATTGCTTTGAAGCTGCCCAGTCACGGTGACACTGAAATTGTGCATGCATGTATGACAGGGCTCGTCCATTGATGTCCAATTCAATTGCTATCACACATAAAAGAATGAAGTCAATTAACCAGAAAGACCTTAGGCTACACAAAAAAGAGCAAGCACTATAGACACTATGTACAAGGCAGTGCAACTTACTTCATTGAGAAATGCAATCAACTGCTTCAGGCTGATGTAATCTGTCTTGCCTTCTGTTCTGTTGGTGTAAAAAAGACAAGAATACATCAACACACACAGCAGCAAGAACATTGAGAGTGCGCTTTATTTTTATTCCTAGAAAAACAACTCACAAAAGATGTCCTATATTCGAACAAGCACAATCAAAGAATAAGTTCCCATGAGCACTGCATCTGTGTGTTTTCTAGACATAAGGATTTAAAAGTCAGTGAGCTCAAGGAATGCCAAGCTGCTATTGCAGTGCATCAACAGTAACAACACAGAAGCCTGAAAATTGTGCAAATGACAATTTGTGGCTTGTCAGGACAATGGATAAACCATCCAGACAATATAATAAAATTGTGCGAATGAATCTATGTGGCCCCATGCTAAAACAGTTCATCCAAAGCAAAGCCAAGAGACAAATAAGAATAAGTGTCAGAATAAACAGCAAGGTGCGCGCTGTGAAAAAACTAAAGAGGGCAAGGGCTAGTACTTTCCTATGGCACAACCTAATAAAATCAACAAATCTAAAAGAGGCAGCACATTGCAGACAGCTCATAATGTGAGTCAACAAAGTTGCATACATCTGCGCTGGAAGTGTTATAACCGAAACAACCTTAGTGAAAGGTCACACATTTAAATGCAAAATATGCAAAGCTAGCAACTGCTCATGTTTCAGAATGCGACCAAGCTATTTGCTTTGTTCGAAGTTCCAAATATTGAAAAAAAGAACCCCGCTGCCTTCACAAAAAATAAAAAACCTTTCACGAACTGTTGCCAACAAACTTTTTGGACCTCCTCAATTATGCATACTCTTCTATGTGGAACCACACTACACAAAAACAATGTCAAGCAGCCACAAAAATTGCATATAAAGTGAAATACGTTAATGTTCTCAGCATGCTTGATGTCAAAACAGAGCACTTAGAGTGTTGCAGCTACCATGAAGAGTTTAGTTGACTTGGTAAAAAACAGCAACATTTGCAGACACTAATGACCACGACTGGTTCTCTAATTAGGCCGAGCCTGCGTGTTGGTATGCTGCTGCGGGAACCTTGCCTAAACTATAACATAGGGTGAAGTGATCACCCTCATGTAATCAAGCAAAGGCAGTGCACACGAAACTGTTCTGGCTCAAAGATGAGCCACGGAAGCTATCTTACAAAAGCCTGCCAGGCTTGTGAGCTCATGAGCTGACAGCAAAGGTGAAAGCATGGGCAACAAATCATATAGACATGAAATTCGCGGAACACTGCTTAGACTGCGTACACAAACCATATCTGCACTCCGCAATAACGCAACTATTCATTTTCCTGAAACAATGGTAACACGCATTTGATACAGGCACAGGTTCACATTTTGTGTAGAGCGCGTAGTGCAGCAGGCAAACAGTCGGAGCATAGCAGCCAGCGAGTGCAAATGCGACTCTGGTGCCTTGGCAACCACACCCTTTTCTCACTCAGTGCATCTGAAAGCTTGTGGTATACTGCGACTACAATTTTTTTCTTTCTTTATCCCTTGGCTCCCTGTTTGTCCGCCATGCATCTCATCTTCTTTCAGTTCAGGCTCGTTGACCTCTCCCCAACTGGGCACTCTTTTGCAGTGAAACACGCTTGATACTTCACTTGACAGTGGGATCTTCCCAGCAGGCATGTTACAAACGGTCTTTCATTTGGGGGGGTGGGGGTGGGGGCTACACAATAGACTATATGCTTATACAGTCGAATCTCAATAATTTGAGCTCGAAGGGGCCCAAAAATTTGTTTGAATTAAAAGAAGTTCGAATAATAGAAAGCTAAATGAATGAAGGGCCCACCATGCAGTGACACATGTGCGTTGAGCTAACACGTGAGAGGGAAGCTTTAGAAGACTTACATTTATTCACAGATCACAGGACATCCGTTATTAATTGAAGTAATCGGAGATGCCCGTCTGCACACACTTGCCCTTGCAGCGAATCAATCAATTCCACACGCAGTTTGCAAAGCATTTTAACTTCGGTTTCAGCAGTTCTCCTGGCAAGAAAAGAGGCGTGCAGCTAAGTCCAGCGCCAACACTCTCTAAAGACGATGGCAATGACTGCGCCTCTGCTACTACCCTCTGCTTCGCAGCCCGAGCGTGGCCAGCACATTACGAGAAAGGAGGAGCATCTCCACGCGGGGGGAGCAGATCGCCATTTGGGAGAGAACCAACACTCCACAGCAGCTTTTTTTTTTTTTGCTCTCTTCGCGCACGACGCTGGAAGGACAAGGGTCTCTACGTTACGTAGCAGGAACGGCAAAGGGAAAGCGTGGCACCGGCGTGTCGCAGATCAGCAAGCCAACATTCTGCGACAGCTTCCTTTTTTTTTTTCTCCCTCTCTCTCTTTGCGTGCAACGTTGCAACAAGAAGGGTCTCTGCATGGCAGGGACAGAAAATGGAGAAGCATGACACAGACGTGTCGTAGATCGGCACTTGATGGAAAAGCAAACGTATCTCCGCAGCCTTTTTTTTTCCTTCTTTTCCTTCTTCGCGCGCTGCGTTGAGGTGGCGGAGGTGCCGTCGCGGGATTGGCAACCAAGAGCACTTTCGCAGAGCAGTATGTTCGAACTAAGCATTCGAATTACAGGGCGTTTTCGCCCATTGGAATACACATAGCTTTGACGGGACCACAGCGTGAGTTCGAATCAACCAGAAGTCCAAATTAGGCGTGTTCGAACTAATGAGATTCAACTATAGGTGGGATTCTCTGGAAGGGTAAGTGCGAGTCAGAAAGAAACACCTTATAGCCAATTTTACACTACAAACAGTTTTGTTATAACTGGTGTGTACTGAAAGAATCCCCAAACTGGGCTTGTCAAGTCCACTTCTCAAAATTTCGGCTGTTTTTCATCGCGAGCTTCCATCTTCTCTCTTCCTATTGTTAAATGGTGAGTATTGTATTTCTAGTTTTCAAATATAGTGTAGTAGCTATAGCCTAAATGGAAGGGTACAAAGTGTCCTCATCACGATCAGCGCACAAAAAGCACAAAAAATACATGAAAGTACACGACACAAGCGCTGTCTAACAACTGAAAGTTCAATTGGAAGAAACAAGTCATATATATTGTCGCGGTACAACGCGAACAAAGCACAGATACGCCTTGAGACAGCGAAAGCAGCGTGTTCTCAACAGCTGAGCCACAAGATTGTCCTCTTAGTTTTCGAGTCAAGCCAGAGGCCCACTACCAAGTGTCCGCTGAATCCCCCCCCCCCCCCCATCATCATTTTCGTTTACATGTAGACACGGGTCATTTGTCTCAATCTTAAAGAGCATCGACCTGATGCAAAGTCAATAATGCAGTTTTTTTTTTTATGAAAGTCTCGCGCAATCACTTGCTGACGTAGGACTTCATGCGCACTACGTGAACGAGTTCAGGATGGTGCTGGCGACGCTTCATACTACACGAACTGTCGGGAAAAACTTCGTAAGTGACATCACTCAGTTGTTGCAGCACTCGGTATGGCCCAAAGTATCTTCTTAAAGGTTTTTCGGAAAGTCCTCGTTTTTGTACGGCCGTCCAAACCCATACTTTGTCGCCAGTTTCATAGGCGACTGTTCTGCGGTGAGCATTGTAGCGGTTTGCATCAAACGTTTGCTGCTGGCGGATTCCGTAAACGTGCAAGTTGCCTAGCTTCTTCCACGCATTCCGTAAACATGTCGGCGTCTGGGTTGATGTCGTCACCTTCGTGCGGCAGCATCGCATCTAATATAGTTCGTACTTCTCGCCCATGAACGAGGCTGAATGGGGTCATGCTGGGTCGCTTCTTCCTTGGCCGTGTTGTACGCAAACGTTATGTAAGGCAAGATTTCATCCCAATTTTTGTGTTCAACATCTACATACATTGAAAGCTTGTCTTGAATGGTTTTGTTTAGATGCTCTGTCAGCCCGTTCGTTTGTGGGTGGTAGGCGGTGCTCTTACGATGCGCTGTCCCACTCAGCATGAGGACGTGATCCAAAAGAGCTACCATAAATGCGGTTCCTCTGTCTGTGATCACGACGGTTGGTGCACCATGCCTCAGTAAAATATTCTCGATGAAAAATCTTGCCATTTCCACTGCTGTACCTCTCTGGATAGCCTTTGTCTCGGCATAACGGTGAGATAATCCGTCGCGACGATAACCCAGTAGTTCCCTGCAGTAGAAGTAGGTAGTGGGCTAGAAATGTCCATGCTGATCTGGTAGAATAGAACTCTTGGGACCTGCACGGGTTGCAGGAGGCCTGCTGGTTTAGTCGGCGGTGACTTGCGGCGCTGGTAGTCGAGACAGGCACGAACATGGTGCTTCACGGCTGTGCTTAGTCTCGGCCAGTAATACCTCTGCTGTACTCTGGCCAACGTCCTCGTGTAACCCAAATGGCCAGAGGTCACCTCGTTGTGGCATGCTTTGAGTACTTCGGTGCGAAGGGCTGCTGGGATGACGAGCAGATAGGCGGTTCCCGTCGACAAAAAGTTTCTTTTGTAGAGTACTCCGCCCCGTAAACAAAACGCGGACAATACTCTTGTGAAAACTCTTGGCGCCTTCTGAGATATGCCATCCAAGTAGTTAATTAAGCCAAGCAATTCAGCGCCGTCACGTTGTTGCTGCGCGATGGTGGTCGTGCCGAGGACACCGAGAAATGCCGTTTCCTCCTTCTCGGACAGGGTTGCCGACTCAATGGGTGAACGGGACAGACAGGTAGCGTCCATATGTCACTCGCCTGACTTATGTATGACTACCATATAGAACTCTTGCAGCCTGAGACTCCAATGTGCTAATCGCCCTGTAGGGTCTTTAGGACTCGTTAACCAACACAGTGAGTGGTGGTCGCTAATTACTTTGAAGGGGCGGCCATATAAATACGTGCGAAACTTTGTAACCGCCCATACCATGGCGAGACATTCCTTCTTGGTCGTGGAGTAATTAGCCTCAGCACGTGTTAACGTTCTGCTTGCATAAGCGATTACCCTTTCGGTGCCCTCTTGCTGCTGCACAAGCACAGCTCCCAGACCGACATTGCTAGCATCGCTGTGAAGCAT